TGCTTGTACTGTTTATCTGGATGAACTCTCTCCTCCCAGATGTCCTCACTGCATTCTATTCCCTGGTTTCATTTTCCCAACACCACAAGGACATCCCTAATTGCCTCTGTCCCTAACCCTGTCTAGAGTGAGTTCTTCTTCCTGGAAACTGACTTCTCTGTATTCATTATCTCTGTCTTCTACCTTTAACACCTTCACTTGCCTATTTCTCTGCCTTAAACGAGGAAGGCTTCTCCTCCTCCAACAGTGCTCTGAAACACAGCACCCCTTCTCCTTGGGAACTCCAATTCCTGAATCATCCGTCTTTTCTTTACCACTCCTCTCCCACTCTCACCTTTCCTTTAATTAACATTTCCTCCTCCTCATACTAATACTAATAAATACTATGAGTGAGCATTGAGAACCTACTCACTTTCATGTACATGTCAATTCTATGCAATAGATCATTAGTACTTATCTCTATCTTACAACTGTGAAAACTGTGGCACAGAAAGAAATAATCTGTCCAAGGTAGCACAGCTGCCAAGTGAAAAACCTAGGCTCTAAACCCAGGTGGTTTGGGTTCAGGGCCTGGGCTTTTAGCCACTACACTACAGTCTCCCTTACAAGAGTCACCTGAGTGACTCCTCCATTTACTTCTCTATCCACAGCAAATTCTTTCCCTATCACTTACCTAACACCTTTCAAAGGTCCCCATAACTACCGTCAAACCCAAAGGTCACATATTAAGCTTCTGTGTCCTGACCCCTCTGCTGGACCCGAGTACCCTGAATACTAAAGCCATGAACTCGCCGTCAGCTTCACCCTATCTCTGTGGTGCCCTTTCTTGGTCTACTTCAGCACTGTCCAGTGGAGGTTTCTGTGATGATGGAAATGTTTTATGGATGTGCTAACCAATATGGAAGCCACTAACTACAGGTGGCTCCTGAGCACTAGCAATGTGGCTGGTGTGACTGAATTTTGTGGCCTCCTACTGGGCAGTGCAGGCACTGCAGGGCTCCCATGCTGGGCCCTGCAACGTGGCAGAAGAGCTCTGTCCTTGGTCCTTACTCCACTCTTTCCAGCAGCCTATCTCCTCGGAAGACACCCACAACTACCTAAGCAGCCCAGTCGTTCTTTGGGAACATCTCTGCCTACAACTGGTCATTTCTTCACCTGTAAGCATCAAAGGGCACCCGAGTGCAACACTTTCAGAACTAAAGTGTCACTTCTTTGTCGAGTCTCCCCCTCAGGCAGCCCCTACTCAGACTGAAGAGAACTGCAAGCTCTACAGCCAGCCTGCTTCAGAGACAAAGGCAGGGATTCATTTTACATCACTCCCTTTCCTCTTTCTTTCTTTACTCCCCATCAACTGCCAACTCTCCATGCTCATTAAGTCTGACCCCTAGCTTTCATTGTCACTGCTCTAAGCCAGGATGCTATACAGTGGACCTGAGAGATTATTGAAGTCCAGTATTTGTATGTCAAGCAAGAGGTAAAGTACAACATGGCTCGAAAATTCTTTTATACTTGTTAGGAAAAAAAAAAATCAGAAAAAGCTGCCCTCTAAGGGTGAAAAGAGAGAAGTACAATCTCACATTCCATGTGCAAGGCAGCCTTTCAGAAACAAACCCTCTTATCAGTTTCCCAAATTTCTATTGGTAACAAATAAAAATGAAATGGGTGCTATCTTAAAAATTCTAAATGTGTGCTCTGGTTATCTCTTGGTGAAAGGATCAATTGCTCACTCATTCATTCAACAAAAGTGTAATCTCAATTCAAATGCCACTTAGTAGTCTCATAGATTTAATAATTATAGCTCCCTGCCCCAAATACCTAGAAAAAAATCCCAATGTGCACCAATGGGCAGGCAGGCCAGATTCTCACTGGGCAGCACTGAGAATCTCGCTGAGGCCACACACTGTGGCTGACACCTGCCAGCCTACCAGGAACAGACTAACCTGTCGCCCCTATGCTCCCTGGGCTCTTGCCAGAAATGTTCCAGCCAGTGTCCATGACCCCTGGAACCCCCACTACTTAACTTCACTCTGAGGAACTCCAAGAAAACTCAGTGTTGGTATTCCCCCTTTGGGCTTGTCAGAGCATTTTGGCCAGCACAGAATGTAGTCCACACAGTATAATGTGCAGTAAACTTTAAAATGATAATCATAAAAACAAGAGAATGTTAGAAATGGCCCTTGGATAAACACAAGTTCAGAGGGAAGATAGCCCTTCCAAGTCTGAAATCCCAACTGCTCCACTGTACCCTCAGGTAGCCCCTACTCAGACTGAAGGGAATTACAGAATCCTCAACGAATTTCTGAGACTTCTCCTGAAAACGCTGGTATTTTATCTAGAAATGTTCCCAAATGAGGGCTGGGTCCGAGACATCAAGGTTCCTCGGTTCCTATGAGAACAGCAGGAGGGCTCACTGGCGCCCAGGTCTTTCACGATCCTTCTCTCACCTGGGGAAAATGATGTCTGAACCCGGCACTAAGAAACCCCATGGAACAGCATATCACCGACTGCTGGGAACTTCTGACAATAATAATTTTGGAATGTATGTCATAAAATATATTAGGTTGTGTTAATAAATTTCTTTTGCGTTTTCAGTTGCCAGAAAGATCCTGATGTTATCCTGGAGAGAGAAAAGCATTTGAATGAAAACTCAGGTGGCCACGGATGGGATGGGAAGCCTTGCTCTGTTAGAATTCAGGTGAAAACAGACATACATTTCATTTACCACCAACTCAACGAATCAAGAGGTGAGTCAGTTGTTTTAAAATAAGTTTTAATATTTCAAAACAATTAAATATTATCAGAAAAAATAACATTTTATATTTAAAATTAATTTAATGTCATTTTTACCTTCACCAATAATAATAATAATAATAAGCCAATAGTAAGTTTTCAAAAATAACACTAGTAAGTCAATAATAGTGGTAATGGTCTCGTTCTGAGGGTGAGTAAATGATACTGGATAAGAAATCACATAGGTTGGCCTGGTGGGAAACCTGGAAGAAGTGGAGACAATCAGGATAGGCTTCTTCCTCCCACCTTGACTTTTACTGAACTGTTTCATCATGCTGAACATATATTATCCACCATCGCGGTTAAATCCCGCCAGCTTTCAAGGCTAGGTCACCCTCCACCACCTCCAAAGCCTTCCCTGAACCTCCCAGCTAGGAACCACTTCTCCCTACAATGAACTTGTGGACTCATGAATACTTCTTGTACATTATCTCACATGTGTTCTCCGTAAGATAAATTTCTTATAAATTTCCACAACACGTTCCACGTGAAAACAGGGTGAGGAATTCATGAGACAGCTTCAGCAGGTCCTCCAGCTAGAATTTGCAGTTTTATTTATTGCAGTTCACAGAGAAACCATAGGCAGGGAATACAACCTTCTGCCTGGCTCTGTGCCTCAATTTCCGACTGATTGAAACAATAATAATAGCTGACTGGCAGGGCTGGCATAAGAACTCCACCAGCAGCCAGGCAGTGCATACTGTACACTGGGCATGGCAGGAGTCATGCTGAGTGTCCAAGGTGCTCAGGATGTGGTAGCTCCTGACCTGGTGGTTACAGGGCTGGAGCCCCGAGGAGTCGGCCGCAGTGCAGGATGCAGCGCCAGCTTCCAGCGCCCTCTGGCACACCTCCTCTGCACAGGCGTTCCTCAGGCCCTGCTTCCTTCCTGAGCATCTGGATGGGACCCACTGCCCTGTCTCTCTGTAAACAAGCCCCTCACCTAGCTAGTTGCCAAAGCACCTGCACTGCTAGACACCAGTGCTACAAGACAATGAAAAATGGGGACCAAATGGGATAGTGAAATGACAGAGAGGAGGCCGCTGCCAACAAAGAATTCAGATAATAGAAGGAGGCCCTTTCCCTGGTTAAGAGGCGCACAGCAGGCTACACGGGCTGGCCTCAGGTGAGTCACTGGAGAGACCTGTTAATACATCAGGGAGCCCAACAGTTCAGTGTCACCTGCAGGGGCAGGTATACTTCAGAGATGAAAGATTAACAAGTACCCCCAGGTACTTCAGAATGAAAGCTGTGAAGCCAGGAAGCTGCCATACTGGTTCAACTTATCTGCTTCAAATTAAAAAGCTGTGTGGTCAATGGGGGTGGAAAATTTTCCAAGAGTGACTCTCATTCTTACCACCTCCTGGAGCGAGGCATTTTTAAATGACCGGTCACAGAGGCAAAGCTCCCTGCTAGTGAAGACCTGGCTTCCTTAGAAACCAGCACTTGCTGTGCTTCCCTGCCCATAGTTCCCCATGTGGCTAGGAACAGTAATTTCTGCCTTGACCAAAACTAGGGAAGCCCCTGTACCATGCCCAGCAGACAGAGTTAAATGTCTTCTGAACCATATACCAAGTTAAGAGTGTGGGCTGTGGAGCCCACCTGCTCTTTATGGACTTAGCTTTCCTCTCTGGGGCCTCAGTTTTCGCATCTACATAGTAATTTTCTCCTCATAGAGGGTTTAACCAAATGTAATTTTTTAAAAATCATGAAATAAAAGGATGTATTAGAAACAGGTATGTGTTTTTAACTATGTACAGACACTATCATAACTTTAATGTAATTTATACTGAACGTGGAGTGGGTAAGATTTACTATGCTGTTAACCTGGAACAAGAGCAACTGTGCTTGACACTTCCTCTTTAATGCGCACGATGACCTCTGAACTATATTAGCCCACTCTATGGTTGAGTAAATGAGTCTCAAAAAGATCAGGAAACTGCCTACATCACACAGCTAGTAAGTGGCAAATCCATAATCTGTACCCAGAACTACAGGACCCGAAGGACTATGCTCTAAGCTGCTCTGTAGCTTTGCTGAGATGGTATCTGAAGCAAAAACAACCCCAGTTCCTGCAGGTACTAAATTACACCTGACGACTCAATACTCAAATCAGTCTTCATTTGCCCAATATGAGTCCCAGTTAAATGGAAAGCCTCCTCTTTTCTCTACTAAATTGAATTAAAAAGCTTGGTTGGAGAAGGGTTTCTTACCTGTGCTGCTGTCCCCACTCTCCATCGAAGGTTTACCATTTTCTGACGGATTGTTCATTCTCGAGTCTGTAATAAATCAGAGATGAATGAAGTTTAAAAAAATTGGGGATGCAGTTGGAGGGGGTAAAACTGAGGCAGAGGAAAAGGTTAAGAATATTGACTAATGTTACAGCCCTACAGTTCGAGGAGACAGAATCAATGCTAAGACATTGAAAATTGCAATAAAAGTTTATCTGACAGAAATTTAAGATTCCATCAACCCTGAAGTGATTCACAAATAAGTAGTCTTGCAAATAAATTTTAAGATTCTTCCAAAAAAGAGCAGAAATCTAACCTAAAAAGTTATACAGTCTGATATGTAAAAGGAGGAGTAAATGCTTTATAATATGAAACATAAAATATGTTAAAGAAACAAAACTGGGGGAAGCACCTCACAAAGTAAAATATGTTATCTCCCAATAAAGCTTCCTTTTCTATAAGCAAATATATTTGTTAATTATGACCAAACAATCCATTGATAATCTGAAAACAGACTGGAAAGTGACTCGACAAAATAATACAAAGCAAATCTAAGAAAAATATCTCCATATTTACCCCCCACCAACAAACTAAGCATGTGTCAAAGCAATATGTCAAGTTCATTCCTCAATCATAAACCAGTACAAGGAGTTACCACAGGCATAACAGGTACATCTAATAATGTCAAGACTGACTCACCACTGCACACAACCACACCCACCTAGGAATTATGCTACCTTGGTATCCCAAATGAACCCGCTGCCATGGTTCATATCTTTACAGTTATGTTTAAGATGTCGCAGTGAAAAGTTTCATCGAGCAATGTTGGGTATCCCAGAAGACACAACAGATGGCACAAGAACAAGCCTGCTTTTCTTCTTCTTCAAAAGGGTGAAATCGAAACATAGTTAAACACAGACCTTACTCTACTTCTCCTGCAAACTCAAACTTAGCATATTTATAAATCAAACAAGTTTACTATCAAGCAAGTTCTGCCTTTTTCCCACCAGTTTAAGAACCATTTAATTACTGGTTCATAGAGAATAAACACTTTAACTATACTATACTGATTTTTTTACTGAAGAGCACATTTTGTCATATGCTTAAATGTTTAAATAGGAAATCAAACCGATCACTAGAGTCCCAACCATATTGTCACAGTGGCATTATCTACATGCACAAGGGAGGAGAGCACTTCAGAAGGGAGTCCTTCTCCATATATTTCACTTCAAACCAGAAGCTGGGGACCAGCCGTTCTAACATAGTTTCTAAGCGGATACCTGTCTTATGTGCTTACAAGTTCTATCATATCTTTGGTTCGTTCTTCAGAGGTTCAAAGGGTTCAGTTTCTTATGTCTTTGGTCATAAATGAGGGTTGTTCTACAACTTCCTTTCCCTCACTGTCCAGAAAAATTTAAATGTCATCTGAAAGCATACTAAGGTTTGAAAGAAACAGGTGTACAACTTAGTGGAAATCAGCTTTCTGAATGACTTACCCAAAACCTTATGAAAGCCAAGAAAGATTACAACAAATGTAATAGAATATGTCATTAAGCATACGCACTGCTCAATGCTTCCTTTAGACTGTATTTTAAAGGCGGGAAAAATAATGAACCAGTTAACATTCATTTTAAAAAGCTGATAATTTCCTACATATCATAAATACAAAGAAGGCATAATTCCTAACAAGTCATGAGCTTAACCTTGTACAATTCATACCCTAATTTTCACATCCATAAATTAAAGATTGTATCACAGGTACTCTATGTGAATCTTCTAAGAATTTTTCAATCGAATTGTCAAGACCTTCAAAGACATTTAACAAAATTACTTCATACACAAAATAATAAACAAAAATTCTGATTAACGGTACAACTATGGGAAGAGTTTAAATATTTATTGTTAACTAAGAATAATACATATCATTTCTAATTCTAAAATATAATGCTAAAAATTTTTCAAAAAGGTATTTTCCTTTCCTTTCTTGAGTTCCCAACTTAGTAAATGTAAGAGTAAATAAGTAATTTCCTTTTTGATATTTGGAGTGTTTCTGCCCTGGGCACCCTGAGCACACTATATGATGAGTCTAACATACATTCTGCAAGCTGCTCTTGGTGAATTCTTGACATCAGTTTGTTGGTTCAGTCATTCACGCGGTTAACAGTGGCTTTTACAGTCTGTAGAGACATCACTACTACCTTGGGTTTAGGCCATGCCTTCTGTCTACCTAAGAATTCAAACACTTTCAGAACTATCATTTTATTCTATCCTTGGCAACTGTGCAGGTGATGGGGGCAGCTCAATTTTTCAAATGGGAAAAATGACATATGGGAAAAAAATTATTTGCAAAGGTTTGTAAGATATCAGAGTCCTGGAGTTCACATCACCTGACTTTCCAGGTGACCAGAGTAACCCAAAGAGGTTTCAAAAATTTTGCATACAGATAAAACTCAACATAAGGTATGGCCATCATGAGCCATCGTTATGTCTAAACACCAAGGTACCTCAATCTATTTTAACTCTTAGTCAACAAAGACAGTTTATATATTCAAGCCAGAAAGGCCCAGCCCTCCCAAAGGCTTCTTGTTCTATAGGGAAAACTCTAAAAAAATAGATTTTCCAGTACTTAAGATTGTTTTCTGATGTTAATTTTTAAAAATAAAAAAGGCTAATATTAGTCAAAATTTGAAAAGTTTCGCTTCTAAAATCTGGAAATTGATCCTCAGCCTGACGGCAGTAACCGGGGCAGTCACCCAAACCTATCCTCAGGGGAACAATTCTGATTCGCACTAAGTACTTTTGGTTTTTATATAAGACATTCCAACTAAGTATGCAAAACATTTTTATTAATATACATATTTTTAAGGTATGCTTCAGACCTTGTTTCTGGCCCAGAGTGTTTTTAGAACTACATGACATGCTCTCAATAGAAATTTCCAAAAAAGCAAAACTGTCCTCCATTCAAGTTGAAGTCTAAATCCACACTATTTACTGAAAGTCTCCTCTAAACCAGAAGAGCTGGTGGTAGGGAGGAACCCACTGCAAGGTCAAGTACGAGCCAGCTTTGCAAATGCTTCCCCCTGCCCTGCTCCACCCGCCTCTCCCCTCCCCCAGTCGGTTGTATAGGTGATTAAGCATTTCTGCATAGCCAACCCCACACCCGATATTTCCATATTAAAGCACATAAGAAAGAACTGTGCTGGTACCCACCTAGAACAAAGTCACTGCAGTCCAGCATTGCTGTGAAATCTTCTAGGTTCACAGTCCACAGCAAGGAAGAAACAGGTAGCGGTTTGGATGGGGTCAGAAGGTACTATTTCTAACAAATCTAAGGGAACAAGGGTGGGAGGTGGAAAGTGGACTAGGGGAGAAGCAAACTACAACTTCAGTTACACCATAGCCATCTTCAACTGAATAAGGAAACTTCAGTTGCTCAGAGGAGTTTTAGTCTCTCCTACCAGCTAGGACTGACATTGTCAAGGCAACTGAAGCATGAAAAGTTCCCCTTTTTGTAATAAAATAGAAACAAAGATTGCAGCTGGCAGTTTCCATAATGAAGCTTAATCAGTATGCGAGTGATTAGGGCCTTATGCAAATCTCTCCTCGTTAGCACGGCAGCCAGCACTTTGAAGTCCACGAACAATTCATTTACAGAATACACTGAGAGCCATCCCTGCATAATTTAAATCACCGCATAAATATTTATCAGTCAATTTGCATATTAATTGGCAGTGCGTGGAGGGAAAAATTATCTCCTGAGCGCCCGCATAACAATTAGGAGGATGAAATGAGACTTCTTCCTAGGGCCGGCTGCTCGGACCAACCCGAGGTAGTGCTGGGGGGAAGGGGGCAGGAGGCAGCTCTGCTAAATGCCACTACAAATCGGAAGACTCCACAGCCTTAAGCACCTTTAATCTCATTCCTGCAGGCAACAGTGACTTCCGTAATAAGAGGATTTGCAAAAACCTTTCTACGCAATCCACATAATCCCCAGGAAACAATCAGCAAGGTAGAAGCAGAGCACAGGACTGTCCAGATGGTGCTACCCACGGATAAGCAGGTTCCAGATACTGACGTGTGCCGCCGGGGAAGTCCTGCTCAGAGCAGGCAACAGTGTAAGCCCAGAAGTGGGGTGGGATCTGTAAAACCACCTTCAAGAGTGGAAGTCCCGGTGTACAAATTCTTTTTATACTACAAGCTGACGGGCTAGATTAGTGGATCACCACAGGGTATGGGTAGCCTTCCCCATCAACCTCAATCAAAAGTGGAAGACAGTTTGTTACATACAGTAACAATCATCAGAAAATGGGCCATGTAAATTGTGGAACTAACTCAGTATTTCAAGTGAATTCTGCTTAACAGATATGAATATATATCTGAGTATGTATAAAACCCTACTAAACAATACATCTAGTCAATTTAAAATGAATTTACAAGGTAAAACATCAACCCAAACTTTTAGGCATTACAATAAGACTACATTGTGTTGGAATCATTCTAGATGGTTCAGAAGATTTCTAAAACATCACATGAAGCAGGCATCATTACCCCTTTAAAAATAAGAAGCCCGAGCCACAGAAGGCTGGAGCAATCTACCCAAGGTAACACTAGCAAGGTGGAGTCAGGATTTAAGCAGACTTGCTAACATGAAAATCTGAACTCCTGGGTCTTACACATGGCAGACAAACTGTACATTCAGGGACATGGGAGACGTGGGGGAGGGCTCAAATAAGACAAGGCTAAAATCGCTTGCTTCAGTGTGGCCAGGAGACCAACAACTGGTGACAAGGACTTGTCTTTAAAAGTCAAGTGTGTGCAGATAAACAGGTGCAGGCACCAGGGTGAGAGTTCCCAGGGGCGCTATCCCGCTAGTAACTGCTTTGATTTAGACCGGTCTTCCAACACTCGAAGTGTTTGACTTTTAAAAAGTCACCTTTGCCAAAACTAAGGTTGAAATTGAACTCAACATGCATATAAGAAGATTTTCTTGCAAATCAGTAACAGTTAGGGACAAAACCAAGAATCTCAACTTTCAGATCAGCACTCTTATTTATATTGCTAGTTTTTCTGTTTTATAGAACCACAAAGTACATACGAAGAGAGGGCATGGGGAGAAATCAAACACTGCCTTTTAGTACCTGCGAGACCTAAGTGCCTTCCCTCTTTGAACCTTAATTTTCCCATGTGTAAAATAACAATGTCTTTCTCATGAGGTGGCTGTCAGGATAAGTGTGCTCATACCTGTCAGGGCAGCTGTTCCACGGAGACATCAAGGCTTGAGACAGACATGGGACAGGTTTCAAGAGCATCAATTTTATTCAATCACAATTCATAATACTTTGTATTAAACAAGCAAGACTATAATATGAACAGAATACAAAATTCAAATGAGTTTTAAGGCAGAATGTACTGGACTGCCTGGCGAGAAAAGATGCAATGATGAATGTGACTAGAATATAGTAAATGTCAATCAAGTTTCCATGCCTTCTCTTTTGCCTTCATCAAACTTCACATTCATTACCTGCACTTACAGAATACCTTTGCAACTCACCTCCTACCTCTCTGTGCTGCATGCAATAACACCCCTAAAGGATTCGTCTTCTCTTGGATCTACAGCCATACAATCACTGCCAACAACAGAGTGTTTGCTGAAAGGCACCCCCCAGGGCAGGACCTCAGTAGGGTAATAAGCTCCTCCTCAGGCCCAGGTCCAGGGGGCGGGCTCCGAATAGGAGGGGGCTACTGCTCACACAAGGCCAGTATCTGGAGAAGAACCCCTCCCCCCCACTGCAAA